TAGAGGTTACATGTAGACATCAATCTTATTAGTAGGCCCTTTTGGTCATCAATAAGCACAGAAAGAATAAAAAATGATTGTTTCATGCACATCCGTGGCGGTAAGTTATATGACATCAATACGACCGGCCAAGTGCAATGAACTATATCCATCGGCCTGAAAGGATTGAATCCATCGGATGCCAGCCCAAGCCTAACATTGCGACTATCACTAGAAAAAATTGGATATCGTTTGTCAAAGTTTTCCATGCAAGAGAGTCAGTCGGATGCCTGAATACACCATCATCAGACTGTCCTTCTAAATGTCATCTCATATGCGAAGTAGTTTTTGATGACATGAAGGCCTTTGTAGCCTTGGCTTCAAAGGAAAATACTTCACCTGTTTGCAACTATTGGTTTACTACCATTGAAAGCATCATTTGTATCACCTTCATGTTGCTTCCATCTAGAAGTATTGCATATCGAACATTTATCCATCTTTTCCTCCTCATTTATGAACAACATGCAACTATTTGGACATGCATCCCAAGTCTTATACGTGAACCCTAAGTCATCGATTTCTTTTTTGGATTCGTAGTATGAACTTGTCAATTTCACCCCAATGGGAAAAGTCTTGTTTAGTAACACAAGTAACATCGTAATAGACTTATCTGTCCATCTACAGAGCGCCTTTATATGCAACAATCGCACAAGAAATGACAATGTCGTGTATTTCTCACACCCTGGATAAAATTCTCTAGACCTGATATTTTTTATTGAGCTCCAATGACCTGGATCCTCTAATTGTGAGACTAAAATATGAACTTTACCCCTAATTCTGTAGGTAAAAAGACCATGTGCTTATCAGTTGCACTATCATCAATCAGGCTTCACCTTGTGAGTGAGAAAAATGACTATGAAGATGGTGAGAAATTCATACTTCTTTATTAGAGACTTAGTTGTATGAAATCAAATGTATTATTTATCCATTAAAAAGGTGGTACAGTCTATGAACAACTGAATATCAGAGAAAATCATAATAAACTAATGAAAGATCAATCTCAAAGAGAATGGTATCGGTTGTAATACATTTAGTTCAATGAAGACTTTTAATAGTTGGCCCCAAGCATCAAGATAAGTAAAGGCCATGTAATTGCTAATTATTAAGCACAAGATAAGACAAGTTCTTGTACTTGGCACAAGTTTTATGAAAACTACCCTAATAAAAACAAAAATATAAAAAAATGTACAGAACATGAGTTACAAGGGCAACGAAATATTTACACCAACTAGACTATTAGATGTTAGTGTAACATATATTTCTTTAGCATTTTTAATATGAAAAGTAGTTCTTCATAAAAGTGATCCATGTCACCAATATATGATATCATGCGAGGAATTGTCGATGTACAACGCACGTGCGCACTAACTAGTTTTACTAAATAGGAGATCAAGTAATGAACTATTACTTCATAGTAAAATAAAAAAACACTAAAGCAATCATTTAAACTTTTAGAAATTTTGAAGGGGATGGTGTATTAACTTGAAAAGGCTCATTGGCATTATTTGAAATTCTATATAAATGGAGTTTTGCAAGGTGAGTGGGGCAACTGCCTCCACATGCTTAAAGGTAACTCCTCCACTATGCAGAAGATTCCAAAGCCACCTCCTTTTTCTTTTTTGTTGTTGCTTGGAGTCCACTTTCTTTTTTCTAATACCACTACAAGTAATCTCTACCAATGTCTCTCTCTCTTTCATGCCATATGAACTTCCTCATCCTTGACCCATCTCACAATCCCGCCTCTCTATCTCTCCCATCCCTCAAGTTGTTCCCCCTAAATGCCTCATCACTGCCACGGTGACCGAAGAAGCACATAACACACACAACAAGGTATTTATCTCTTCCCCCCACCTTCCTTCCAACCCCTTTTTTTGCACATAGCACACACTTACAATACCCAATCATAAATGGGTACAAACCCAGATAGAGAAATCAATAACAAGGATGGGAGAGATAGAGAAAAATTAAATATGAGAACAATTATATAACCCAAATAGAGCAATCAATAAAAAGGATGAAGAAAACATACCCGGAAGACGAGGGACAACTGGAATCTGCTACAATACAGAAAGTAATTGTCCACAATGGAAGATTGATGCACGGAGAAGAGATAAAAAAAAGGTGTTGTCGTGACTCTAGTAAACGGTGGTGGCAGTAGCAATTTGGAGACCTAGGGTTTACTTGATTTTTAACAAAGAGAGAGAGGGAGAAAGAAGAGTCGATAAGCTAAAAAAAGAATTGATAATCGTGAGTGTGGGAGATGTGTGAATACAAGGGAGAGAGGTGCGAACTGTCAACTGTGAAGGGGAAAAAATAGGGTTTTTACTCTTTCATCAAATATATTACTAAATTTACCGGGAAAAAAATTATATTATTAAAACAATAGACCCAGCCCACAAAATAATATCATTTTAATAATAGACCCACAAAACTACACTGTTTTACATAGACTAATTATCACAACAAGTCCTCAATGCAACATAAGCGAAAATGTTTGTGATGGAAAAAACTCTTATCACTAAAAAAAAAATCGTATTGTATTTGTTGCCATGGCAACAGTTTACCATTGCAAATAAATCATTTTAAATGATGGCATTAGGAACAGTCGCAAAAAAATTATTTTGCCATGATAAATGGGCCATCTCAAAAAAAAAAGTGATGCAAAAATCCAAAATTCTTGTAGTGCATTAACATTTTGGTGATGCCCACTCAGTTTCAGGGTGGAAGATTGAAGTTGCTGGTAATGATTAAGTTTGAAATTGAGAGGATCTAAATCCAAGTAGTTATATGAAAATGCTCCCCATGTATGATAATATTTATCAAGGAATTGTCTACAAATAACATACTTTATGAGAGCCCATCCTCAATTCAAAAAAAAAAAAAATGGACTTAAAGCAGAACTTTGATGTAATCCTATAGTAACTTAGAATTCATTATTCTCCTTTGCCGTTGTTCACACTAAAGTGTTTGCATCTTCATACATATCTTTAATAACATCAATATACCTAATAGTAACATTTTTATTCTCAGAAACCATCCACAATATCTCTCTAGGAATTATATTATATGTCTTCTCTAAGTTTATAAAAATCATATGAAGGTCCTTATTTTTTCTCCCTTTACCTCTCCATTAGTCTCCGAAGTAAATATATAACTTCAGTTGTTGATCTATCAGACATAAATCCAAACTGATTATCAAAAACTGTTATTTGAAACTTTAATATTTGCTCAATCACGCTCTCCCCAAGTTTCATTGTATTACCGATTAGTTTAGTAGCTCGATTGTTTGTGCAATTTTATATGTCTTCCATAGATACTTAGAAGCAAATCTTCTACTATTCAGGTTGTAATTGGTTGTTGGGTACTTCCATGCTAGAGGAATGTAAATTCTTTCTTGGCCTTACTCAATTGTGTCCTTAATGCAAACCCATTTCCAGGCCCAATGTGCATACAAGACAAGGTGACACTGGCTTGCCCCCCTTTGAATTTTACTTTTCAATTGTATTGAGCCTCCAGGTTGGTTTATTGTGAAAACATACCTAATCTCCATACTAAGGATCCAAAGATGCCCTCCAATATCCTTTTTTTGAGGTTTCCACAGTGGTATATAACTTACCGCGTATTGTTGTGGGACCCAATAACATATGAATGGATCTATGCCTAGTCAATCTCACGACTCTCACCTTTAATACTAAGGTACCATCTGGAAATGATTTTTTCAAGTAATTTTTTGTTTTGCATTTTTATTTTCCAAGCTTGCTCCCTTCGTTTAAGTTTGATGAGCCCAAATCTAATTGAGTCAGACCCAATAAATTAAATAAACTCAGATTAGTTGCAAAGTAGGTTTAGCCCAGTTCGTGAATTCGGCCCGGTCCAAGGTTGAAGAAGTCCAGTAAGATTAGATCACGTGGGGAGCAATCATCAGGATAGTCACTATCAAAGATCAAGACAATCTTTAATTGTACTTATCCTTAACTGTTACTATCCTCCATGAAAAACTAGTATCTTTACTCTGCCGTCACCGCCTTAGTCAAGGCTCTATTCCTATAAATTGTAAGCTCTTTTTACATGAGAGGGGCATTTCTCTTTACACACCTCTACATCCTACACACAGGTATATCTCTCATAGCTACCAAGAGCATATCTTGTTCTCTCTCACCTACTACTTCATCAATAAAGACAATTGGCCACCATTGCCGTCTTCAAACTAGAGTAGATCACCCTAACCAAACCACTATATATCTGTGTGTTGACTGTATTGATCTCACCTTATATTTACTACATTCATTACTTACATTAATTACTCGGCGGGTGGTGCATAAATCCACTTTTGTGCATCATCAGTTTGGTGTCGTCTTCCTACCTTCAATGGAAATCAAAACTAGATCCATGAATCACCAAGAAGAAGATGAACCGCCACATCATGATGAGGTCTTGCCACCACAGGAGAAAAGTAGACACTAGAAAATTCTACTTTTTCACAAATTTGAGTTTAAAACTCAAATTTTGTGAGAAATAAGCATTTTTTGGAGAAATATGGTGCCCAAATCACCTTTGGCAACTTATATGTCATAGATCTTGAAAAAAAATACCCAAATTAAAGAAAAAATTTGCCTTAAATAGACAATCGAGCTCAAAGTTATGATCGTTCAAAGTTTTGTCGTTTCTTTATGCTTTTCAAACACTCCACCCAGCGCGAGTGCCAACGCCCCACATCTCAGCAAAGCCTACGCATGCCAGCCCCTATGTAGAGCATCTTGGCGTCCCCCATACCGCTTCTCCAAGGCATCGCCCAATCCACCCTAGCAAGGGCATCGCCTAAGCACCAGTGTTAGTGACTTGCGCCGGCGCCCGTCTCTTGTTGCTCGTGCCACCCAGTGACCAGCGCCTCTAGCGTCGCCACCACCCCCTATGTCAATCTTGGCATAGCCCAAGTCGAGCCCAACGCTGGCATCGCCCGATCACACAAAGGTGTCGCCTATGCATTCGACTCCTCTCTCTTTTGCTCCAATACCGACTAGTTGGCTATCAGGTTCACCGTTGCTACTCATCAAACTTGGGGCACCGCCTGCCTGTGCGCAACCCAAGGCATCGCTTACTTCGCCTTCGTTTGTCTTGCCTAGGAAACCCCCGACCACATTGCTAGTGTACAAAGCACCACTTCCTAGCACCCTAGGATGTGGCCTTCCATCTTCCGCTAGCCTAAGGGAGTGTCTGGCATCACTTGGTTGAGTACTGTGTTTCCAACGTTGCCACCTATTTGAGTCCCTTCGATCGTAAGTTACTGCAGCCCGAGGTTGCCTAGGCCAACGCCTGGTCGCCTGGAGTCGAGGCTAGATTCACTGTCCAGCCCATCCAGGTCGGGCTCAACTGATGGGGCATCGCCAAACCCAGCAACTGAGGAGTCTCCATCCAGCCCAGCGCCATAGGCGCCGTCTTCTTGCACGCTACACGAGGGTTCACCTTCCCTACAACTAGCACCACCCACTTGTAAAAGATGGGAGGCATCGCCCCCTATGCTTCTGCCACCATATTTCACATAACCTAAGGAATCACTCGGACTTGAGGTGCCACCGAGAACGTCGCCTGAGCCATCCCCTCCTTTTTTTCGTGTTGTCATGGAATTCTAGCCTATTTACTATATACTTTTTCTTTGACTCGCTTACTAACTTAAGCATCGGAGTCCCTCTGGCCTCCTCTGGCCATCGGTTCACCTAGATTTTATCTTGTCTTGTAGGTTTACCAAGACTTTCCCGCCTTCATCTTTGTTTGTACAAGGTAATGATCCTTTGCGTGAATTTTTCCTTGCACAGGAACATTTCAAAATTGAGTGGGTGACAAGAATAAGAATCAAACTATAAAACATCTGTTCTCTGGTCTCACATGGATTGTAGTGTTTAACTGATTCTAATCCTTGCGCTAATTGGAATCCTTGAATTCGACCAGGAAAGACCCAGCCTCACCGGTGCCTCAGCACCCAACAGAATCCAGAGGCGTTCGTGCTTCAGTGCCTAGTAGTGCTCTCATGCAAGCACCCTATGTCTCCAGCTTCGCACTCTCCCGTGAGTTGCCAAGAAGCTCGACATAATCCTATTTCTACTCTCAAGCAGTCTATTTCTCTAGCTTAGTGGCTCTCACGAGAGTCGTCAATAGCTTGGTCTTATTCTACCTTCGCTCTTACGCAAGTAGCTTATGTCTCCAACTTAGCTGCTCTCATGAGAGTCACCAAAATCTTGCCCTCATTTTGCCTTTGCTCTCACGTAAGCAGCCTCGATCTCCAACTTAGCGGCTCTCTCGCAAGTTGCCAAAAACTTGGCCTCATTATGCCTTTACTTTCATGCAGATAGCCTATGTCTCCAGCTTAGCGGCTCTCACGAGAGTTTCCAAAAGCTCAGCCTCACTCTGTCCCTACTCTCGCAGGCAACCTATATCTCCAGCTTAGCGGCTCTCACAAGAGTTGTTAAAAGCTCAGCCTTCCTTTTCCTCTACTTTCACGCATGCAGCCTATATCTCCAACTTAGCGGCTCTCTCATGAGTCACCAAAAACTTGGCCTAATTATATCTCTGCTCTGAAGTAGCCTTGGTCTCTCAGAATCTCGGCCTAACTCTGTCTATACTTACACTCAAGCAACGTCATTCTCCAAAAGCTCAGCCTCAAGAGTTATTTCTCTCTCATGAGCCAACCTCAACTACTCCTCAGTAGCTTGGTGCCCAGGTCTCTCTTCTGCCAAAGCTCTCAACACCTCGTCGAGTTTGAGCGTCCTCAAAAGTATGGAAAAGCCGCAACCATATGCAAATATCCGAAAGTTAGAATGTCAAAATGACAAAGCATATGGAAGAAAGGGTTCCATATAAAAGAGGGGTGCCATAGCATAGCCCTCTTTCGCAGTATTGATGATACCCTTAAGACCATGAGAGCTAACCTCTCTAAAATCCAAGGGTGTCACAAACCTCCAAACCCTCTCTTTAGCCAAAATTCACATCCTATAACATGGACACCAAGCTACTGCTAGAAGCAGAATAATTATGTGAACCATTGGGGGCATTAAGCCCTGCCTTCCGAGAAACAGCAGGGCTGTCAGATTTCATTTGGGAAGCACTAGGGGCATCAGATCTCACCTCTTCAAGGAGGAGGGGAAGTCACCATCCTAGTGACGTAAAGAGCCTTTGTCATTGATCTATCAACCATGGGAACACCTATGAAAGAGAGAATTCTCATAAACCAAAGACATCATCAATTTGCCTGGGTCATCCATAGTGTCGCCCGTGGCACCGCCCAACCTTGTGCTTTCCCTGGTATTGCTCAGGTTCATATCCATGGTGCTACTTGCCAAAACATCTCCATCTCCACGCGCCGAAGCGTGCATGTTTCTCTTCATCCTCTCTCCAACAATGGCGTTACCAAATAAAGAAATAAACTTAAAAATGTAATGGAGTAAAAAGCTGAAGAAGCCACTGTATGGAAGAAGATATATGTTCTATCCAAAGGAAGGAGTTCACTTATGCCCTCAACCCCCTTCTCTCTCAAGCAATCAGAGCTTGGGGCATGGGGGCAAATGATGAGCCCAAGTCTAACTGGGTTAGGCCCAATAAATTAAGTAAGTCCAAATCAGTTGCAAGGCAGGTCAAACCCAGTTCGTGAATTCGGCCCGGTTTAAGAAGATTAGAGCACGTGGGGAGTAATCATCAAGATAGCCACTCTCAAAGATCAAGGCAATCTTTAATTGTACTTATCCTTAGCTGTAGCTATCCTCTCCGAAGAACTAATATCTTTACCCTCACGTCACCGCCTTAGCCAAGGCTCTTTGCCTATAAATTGTCAGCTCTCTCTACATGAGAGGGGCATCTCTCTTTACCCACCTCTACATCCCACACATAGCTATCTCTCTCATAGCTACCAAGAGCATGACAAATCAATCTCCCTCTTCATGTGGAGGGTGTGACTTGATCTCTCTCCTCTTAGGGAAGTTACACTCATGCTCGAGTTCCACTTCATTCTCATGTCGACTTCTACCATTCACAATGATGTGTCATTGTCAAATTATCTGTTTGAAATGAGTGTCACATATAGTTCAACATCATGTAGCCACAAATGGGAGTAATTTATTTTTTAAAGTGTTCAAGTAGCAGTAGTTCACTTCACCAGGTGAATAGTGTATACAACGGTGATACTACAACATGATGTACACGTAGTATCACCAACCGATTATAGATAAGTCTAGTGAACCTCACTTGATTCATTAACCACCAAAAACTATCACACTAATAACGCATTTAACGAAGTGAGGTTTACTATGCTTACATGATGGTTTATAACTTGTTAGTGATGTGTCAATGATGAGATGATATCGTTGTTGTATTGAGTATTTCCTCCACTTCTCTATGCTAATGATGTAAATTAAGTAGACCATGGAGAGAATCTACAAAGTCAAAGGAGATTGATACAACATAAATTCACTTTGCATCTCATATAAAACTTCACATTTATCAATATAGGACTTTTTGAGTCTTTGTTGCAATAGTGAGGTCAATCCATCTATGATCCATACATGTCATGAGTTTGAGTCACATACATGGGAGTAAAACTATGTACATTTGACCCTCCTAGTGATAAGAGTTTCATGTGTAACCTTGTCTACCGTTTGCACAAAGCATCACATGATGGTTGATGGTGCTCAAAATCGCTATACCCAGTTGCACAACAACTACAGTGTGAGGCCCAGTGGAGGCTTTATGAATATTTGGGTTAATAAAAAAGTAGGTGCTGATATTGAATCTAAGAACATAATATAAGTGATTCACGTTAATCGAAAAACCAAGGCTACATCCATTGTAATAGATGCTCTTGCTCGTTGGAGGTTGTATTACTTGAAGAATAAGATAGTAGTTATAGTGGATTTCCTGGCTCAAAGCCTTTTTACACAATATACTCTAAATAAAATTTTGGAACTCTCTTTTATAGTGTCTTCGTCTTCTATTTATACATGTGGCCATCTAGAGTTTCTATGATTCTTTCTTTTCTTGACTGATTCTGTGATCCCTTTTTCATTTGTCCTGCAGCAGGGTCAGCCATGCCGACACACTTTGTGCCCATGATCCTCAGAAACAGAATCGTCAAAAGTTGCCCCCTTGTCCCCCTGGACATGTGACGTTACTAGAGCTGCATGCAGCCCATTTTGCACCAAGCTCCTTGTTCCCGAGCAGGCACTTTCTACTGTGCTCTAAATAACCGAGCTAGCACCTCCCAAGCTTATGGTCCTAGGCTTTCAAGTCCCTGGTTTGCAGCCAATCCCACGATAATCCAAGTGCTCTGTAGGTGGCCATTTAGGTTGTCCTTTAAAGGGGGCCCATCGGATGTTTTGGGCTCTGAATGGGCGGCCCAAGCTTAAATCTATCATTATCAATGGTAATTACACCACCACATATTTTAGCACATTTTTTAATACAAAAATCATGTGAGTTTCAGCAACGAATATCTTTTGAGGCATTTCTATCAAATTAGAGAAATATATAGGAGTGGATAGAGTGTAGGTCCTGATCAAGGTATCTTCTTCTTTTTACTTCTTGTGAGGACATCATGTGGAGTTTACTATCTTAGCATGGTCATTAGGGTAAATAACTTTTTAGCAGTATTCTTTCCTTTTAAAGTCTTCCATTTCATTTCATTCAGTCAAGCTTTAGGTTTTAATGGACTTGAGTGACATCCATTTTATATTGTATCTAGTTGTTTTAAGTTTGTTATGAATGTGATCACAACAAAAAATGAAGTAGAAAAATAAAAAACATAAAGAAATTTTGTGGGTCTATTCGAAAAGCTTTTATTCATGGACGAAGCGCAACACTAAATGTTAACTACAAATGATGAATATTAAAAAAACAAATACTCTGAAAGGAAGCCAGAAAGCCAATACCAAAATCTTCTCACAAAGTCTGAAGTACTTTGCTACCTATTTATGGGCACAAAAGCAAAACTTTCTCCTCCAAGATTATTAGGAATTAAACGGCCTAACAAAATATACTATGCCCAATTCCATGAACTCTAATAAAATCAAACTATCTTCAATTGGATAAATATATTTTGAGCGATGCTAATTGGGTCTAATTAATTCACTGACTTAATCACTTGCTATCATTGGATTGACAGTGATAGCAAAAAGATTTTTGAGATCCACTTCTAATCCAATAACTGTAATAGGTTAGGTCATTATATTAGGTACAAATAGTATTATTGTTATCTTTTACTCTAACTTAGAACTTGAGCTATAGAAATTATCTTACTTGCCAAAAAAAAAAAACTTGGAACTTGAGCCACTATTCAACCAAGCACTATGGTTGTGGGTGAGAGCAGGATTGCTCATGCATGATTGTAATAATCAAGTTAGCATAGGTAAGGACTATTATGTCATTTTGAGAATAATCTAATTTTAAATGATCAAGAAGAACTTTTAAATTCACCATGTGGTGATCTTGAGCAAAAGCTATGGTTGCATGACAGACTATGTTGAGACATTGATACATAGTTTTGGAGTAGAGTATAAAGTTTATGAGATTGATGGATTTCAAAATGGACAGGAAATCAAGAGGGCACTGCTGGTATTAGGATGTAACTCGAGCGTACCAGCGGTGTTTATTGAGAAGGAATTGGTTGTTGGTGCTAAGAAGGCCATCATCCTCAATCTCAGGGGAGAGCTGAAACATCTGTTCAGAGACGTGGGTTTGTTTAGACTATCATGTTAGTTTGGTTAGCGTTGACACTATGTTATTATGGTTATGAGTAGTGTTTTGGTTTTTGTTGTAAAAGAGAACAATGACGGCACAAGTAGTCATTAAGCCTCTTTTTTGTCTGCAAACTAGAAATTGGACAAGACAGGCATGGGCAATAGGATGCTGCATTGCAAACTTGGCAATGCTCACACTCAACCGCAAAGCATGGATGTAGCTGTGAGCTGTGGTATGTCCATGCACGGTCTACAAGAAAAAAATATTCATTACAATAATGATATCACGTCAGCATTATCACATACTATCACTAATCAATAATGTGTAAACAAATAAGAAAATACACCCCACACAAGCTAATAACTATCTGGTCATATAAACCAATAACTACTCACTCTTCTTCTATGTAAATCAATAACTATCTAAATAGAATTCACTTTACTCATTTAAGATTTTATTATTGGTTGGTGTTATCATGTCATCAATTGCATTAAATATTTCTCTTCTAGAAGATGAGAAATTTTGTTTTTTTTTTTTTGTCAAATATGACATTGATTTTGAATTTTAACAGAGCAATGGACTAGACCGCTTTCGTGAACTTAATCAAACGTGACCGAAAATCACAACCCCATAGCCCTAGCGGCTGGACTATGGGCCTGCTCATGAGCCACACCGTTTTGTTGATATAGCAATAAATCGAGGAATCGAGGGCGGAGTCATGTTACGACAAGGAACCTGATATTTGATTCTCTTTTACATATTACCGATCAGTTTGTTCATTTTATTAAATTTTTCCTCCCTAATTTTTTGAAAATTGGTAATGTGAACTAAGTTTTTTTTTTATTTTGTATAAGTTAGTAGTCCATTATCCCTCTAAAAAAAATGTTTTATTTTTTGATTGAATAAAAAATATGTGAAATGTCATATTTTTGGATTTTTTGTGTCTTTTTTTGCTCATATTTTATTTAGGATACATAAAAACTAATTTCATCAAATAATTTATTCTTAAATCTTATATATCTTGCTATGTTTGGATTTCAAATTTTTTTTGTATTGATTGTGTCAATCTGGCCCTCCCCAACCCCGCATAGACGAGAGACTCATACACTAGACTATTTGACCTTTTTTTTTAATCATATTTTACCCCTTAAACATGAATGTTGGCTCCGCCCCTACATGGAACCCAATTGACTATACAACAAAAGCTTCTGGTCAACAATTCCTCATCATAGAGTTTGATATCTACAAAAACTGTTCCAAGCACCTGAAGGGTGCCAAATGTCCTTGTTACTCATTGTTACATGAGGTCTTGTCTTGCCTTTTGTTAGCTAATGCTTGTCGATGGTTCCTTTTCTTGCAACAACCTTCATGGTCATTGTGGCCTTTCTCTTGCTACAACAATGCTTCAATATTAAAAAATAAGATCTAGATGCATTCTAGCAACATATTATTTCAAGATTAGATCATATTATCATGTATTCAAGAGTGTATTAATTGAGTCTAGATTGTTGAACTTGAGTATGATCACATTCGGATCTGTTGCTGTTAGCTCAGCAAAAAAGTTTTGAATATTTGAGCCAAACCAATCTCAATTTCTTAGTAAAAATTTTTAAAGATTAAACCCTACATCTTTTTGATTTTTCTTTTTGCAAACTTAGTATTCAAGATCTCCCAAAATTAGTAAAATATCAACTATAAAATCAAATTCTAGAAATTTGAGACGACATCCATATTAGCTCATTGGACTTTTGATCACATGAAAAAGAAGTCAGATAAAAGAGGGGAAGCTTTAGGGATCGACCCTCAAATGTCTAAGTCAGTAATTAACTCAAAGATATTGAATATCCTTTTGGGCAGAGTAGTGACGTACCTCATTATATTCTGGTAGAGCTCCATTTATAGACGTGTGAGATTTGATTCCTTCTAAAATTGAACTCTAATCTCCCTTGTTTGTTGGTTAAAAGAATGAGGTTTCTCTAGGAAGTCTCTCTTATCATTTCAAGGGGTTGAACTTTACTAGTCTAATTAGCTGGGACTTTATCTCAATCATATCGGATCCCTGATTATCCTTAAACGTCCGTTGTTATCTCAATATAGAGATTTTGTCGTTATCTCAAGATATATTTTTGTTATATATGACATGATATTGGACTTGTTAATGGTGAGGTTTATGAAGTCCCATTGAAAATTTCCAAGCAAAGATATTCTTTATAAAAGAACTAGTTATTGACTGTGCCTGAAGGCACAGTAATAAAAAAAAGGCAAACCATTAAAATATTTGTATTCATATCCAAAATCAAATCACAAATATAGAAAATAAATAAAATAATTTAAACATCGATTTGTAATGGGGGTGAGAGATGGTGGGCAACATTGGTGGTAGTAGGAGACGGTGATGGTTGTGGTGGATGGCCACGACCGTGGTGGTGGTGACGGCAGCGGTGACGATGGTGGTGGTGGTGGCGGCAACAGCGATTGTGGTGGAGGCGGTGGCGACAGCGACAGCGACGATGATGGTGGCGATGGTGAGAGTGGTGCTGGTGGCAATGACAGTAGTGGAGGCAGTGGCGGTGGTGGTGGTGGTGGGGAAGTGGTGGCGATGGTGGTGGTGGCAACGGTGACAGTGGAGGTGGCGACGGCGACGGTGGGGGTGGCAGCGATGATGAGGGTGGCGACGGTGGTGATAGTGGTGGTGTCATTGGCGGTGGCGGTGACGGTGGTGGTGGGGGCGGTAGTGGCAGCGGCAGCGATAGCAATGGTGGTGGTGTTGGGGGGTGGTGGTAGTAGTGGTGGCCACGACGGCGGCGACAGTGGCGGTGGTGGCGGCGACGGTGGCGGTGGCGATGGTGGAGGTGGCGGTGGTAAAGGTAATTGTAGGACAGTTTTAAATATTATTTTTTAAAGTCTTTATAAGAAATAATTTTTAAAAGTACTTTTAAAAAGTCACTTTAAACACACCTTTAGGGACTTACTTTCTCCTATTAAATTTAAGGTGTTAATATTAGCCGTTAGATTAACTTTAAAACAAAATTTAAAGTGATCTCAACCGCGAATAGCAAAAATTATAGATTTGAATTGTAAGCTACTTTATTACATAAATGATACAATTGATTATTTTCAAGAAAATGACAAGTTTTAAATTTGGCAATTGTGTTTTTTTTTTCTTTAAGATTAAGCATGTGGAAGCTATTAGAAGAATTCTTAAAGGTCGTCCTTATTTTTGTGGGGGTAAACACATGGTTTTGAAGAAATGACATCCACACATTAAGCTAATGAAAATTGAATTTTCTAACATTTCAATCTGGGTCAAGCTTTTTACTGTTCCTATGTAGTTATGGACTAAGGAAGGCTTTAGCTACTTAGGTAGCATTATTGGGAAACCTTTGTATCTCGATTCTCCCACTCTCTATTAGAGTGAGCTTAATTTGCAAGGATGCGTATTGAGATTGATCTTCTAAGGACATTCCAGAGTCTTATAAAATTAAGTTGGGTGAGATTATGCATTAAATCTTAGTTGAAATCCCTTGGATACCTCAAAAATGTTGAACATGTAAATTGTTTGATCATTCAAATGTTGGATGCCCATTAGCTCCTAAACAATATACTCCTCAAGTTTGGAGAAAAACAGGAAGCCAACATTGGAAAGCCTTGCATTGATGAATGGCGTGAAGCTGTTAAAAGCAAAAGAAAAAAGAAGATAAAGGTGTCTCTGATGGAAAGAACTAGAAATATTAATGGAGGAGAATCCTCCTTAAACTTTTTTAATGTTTTTGCTTGAGCCCTCTTCATGAGCTAGGGAGTTCAATTAAAAAGACCGAGAGAGGAGTTGACACTCCCCTTGTGAGGGAAAATGAAAAGGTTGAGGAGAGGGAAATAGATCTTAATAATTCCTTTCATAATCTTTTTGAAAGGGCCTCTTTCCTTCAAAGAAAAAAACAAGAGGACGTTTCGTAGAAAGATTCAAAGTTCGAATGTTAGAATATCAAATATCCTTAATATTAAGGATCTTCAGGAGAGGGTAAAGTGCTCTCCTGAGTATTTGGAAGATGTTGGTTAGCTTTGCCCCAATTCTTGTAGTGTAGCCTAAGACCTTCCCTTTGACTAGATTATCTTCAACTCTCTCTCTCTCTCAGCATCTTGTTATGACGGTCAATGGCGATACTGTAACTTTGTCACCCGTCATGGACCGAATGTATCTCTTTAGCCATCACCTTTTTCTCCAACTAATAAGCTTTAGTTTACGTGCACGCCTGTTTCTCTCACCAATAAGCTTTACCTTAAAGTGGACAGCGTTTCCAATGAACTTTCGTTATCAATGACAAGATTCACATCTTGCGTTCACACAATGCAACCAACTCCTACTTTTCTACACGTACATGGAAATTCATTCCCGTCAACGTGCATTACCATTCTACATATAATATAATCATGGTTACCTAACTCCAAAAAAATCTCTATTTATCGAAGAGGATCATTATGGTACGGACATCAAAATTGTAAGAAAAAAATTATAATATTTAAAGATAAAGTTACAATTTAAAAGAATATGATGTGTTACAACTCAAGATAGTTTAAGTTATAATTTTAAAATGCTGTGATCGAGTATGAACGATGTAATTTTTAAAAGTCAAGTTACTTATTATAAATGAAAAGTCGCAACAGATTAAGGTACCTTATGATCAATCACGAATTAACTTAACCAATTGTAACTTTTTTTTAATAAGATATATTTTGATTTTTGAAAATAATAAATTTTGGGGTACTAATAAATTAATTTTTTTGATACCATGGCCTTAATCGAATATTGGCATATATGATCGCGGAGTGGGGTAAGAAAAAATTGAGAAATTTCCAATGCCCTCGATAGGTTACCCAACAAAATATATTGGGTTAATAGCACTTTTAATCACTAAATTTTTTTTTGATTAGTTTAGTCCTCATTGTATCAATTTTATCAATTTAGTCTCTAAAGTATTCAATTCGTGTCACTTTGTTTCCTACAGAGAATTATCGTCAAGTTTTTTTGACGGAAGTAACCACGTGTTATTTTTATACTGTATCATATACTCAACACATGATTATTCAGTCAAAAATATAGGGAAAGTTATTGGTTTTTAATAATTTTGTCAAATGTGATTTTGGATTGGATTGGATGCATGGGTAGTTTTGTCATTTTTAATTTAATATCATACACTGCCACCTAATCCAAACATTATTTCATATTATAAGTTAGATTTATGTCTTATTCTAACCTTAATTCAAATTTGATATACAAAAGATAGGATAATTGTACTATAATGAATACTATTTATAAGAATTGGATGAGAATCAATTGTCTTATCCCATCTTTTGTTTATACTCAAACCAAACCAAACATGCCAATCTATACATGCTTGCCTTTTATACATTATGGTAGTCTCGTTCCCACAATAATGATGGTATAGTCCTCCCAATCTATTAGAATATTTGTCAATTGGAGACTTTTCTCTCTCTCGCCTCCTTGGGTCGTAGCCTGATGTTATCACTGTCATACAGAACTCGTCACGAGTCATGGACATATCTTTAGCAAGTACCTTTTTCTCTCACCAATAACCTTTACGTTAAGTGCACCGCGTTTGTGCGTGTGCATGGAAATTTAACATCAAAATCGAACGAGAAGTTACAATAATTAAAATATAGAAAAATTTTCATTTATACTCTTTCTAGTTAACTCTAAATTTAATAACATCCCTTTTTAAT